CGCTGCGCCGCCCGAGCTGTAGGTCAAAAGTGCAGCCTCCCGGCGGTCTGGGCCTGCAGCGCCCCCGGGCGAGCGAAGCGCTCGGGGTCTGCATTCTCGACGTGAGCGGCAGGACCCCGCGGAGGGCGGCGGGGAGACGCGTGGGCCAGTCCCATCCTTGCTGTTTGAGGGTTTGGCCTTCCCACACCTGCGGGCTCGGCGGTTACCACTCCCCTTCCGGGACTTAGAGCTCCAAGCCGTGCCCCCTTAGACCCCCACACACCTGGCTGTACCTCCCGGGGTGGCTGCCCTGTGTGGAGGCAGGTCCCCCAACCACAGAGGACCCAGCAGATTTCGTGCCCTCCGACCCACACCAGCACCACGCAGGGAAGCTTTGCCTTGATAAACCGACTTTAATGTTCATCATCGGCAGGAGGCTCAAGGCCAGATTAGACGGGTGGACTAGGGGTTCGCGTCAGCTGTGTCTGCAAAGCGACCCGGGAGGGCAGCTCGCCAGTGCCAGCGCCAATGGAGAAGGCGCCCCTCCCCCAGGAGCTGGGGGCTCAGTGCAGACAACTCCTCAGGATGCGGGTGGGTCTGAAGACTTGAGCTGACCTCCCTGCCTGGCACCTGGGCTGGTGGTGGTCTTAGGGAGTCAAGGGTTATATTGACACCCCAGGTTCTGGGACGGCTCAGTAGCTGCAATCATTGGGTCTCAGCAAAAATAACATCCAGGTGTCTCCACCTTGTATCCGGGTCCTCTGTGCTCCTTGTAGAGGTTAAATCGGTAGAGGAAGTGTTGCCACCAAGTGGCCACTACAGACTGAAGCCATACATTGGTTGGGCAATGGCAGGAACAGCCATAGGGGGAGCCACGGGGCTCGTTCAGTAGGAGGGCCTGCTGTCAGCATAGCTGCAGGCTTGCAGAGGGAGAGGCCAAGGATGAGCAGGGCCCATGCTGCCCCCAAGTGGCCAGGGCCCCAAGGAGCAGGGTTGCAGCCTAGTCCTAACGATCCAGAGCAAGCATGTCAAACTCAAGGCCCACAACAAGTATTTTTGCAGCCGAGGCAATATAACAGTATGTAAGAAACGTTTTTCTTTTTAATATATTTTTGATTTCAGAGAGGAAGGGAGAGGAGAGAGAGACAGAAACATCAATGATGAGAGAGAATCACTGATCGGCTGCCTTCTGCACGCCCCACACTGGGGATCAAGCCCACAACCAGGGCATGTGCCCTTGACCGGAATCGAACCTGGGACCTTTCAGTCCGCAGACCGATGCTCTATCCACTGAGCCAAACTGGTTAAGGCTGTAAGAACCGTTTGAATAAAAATGTCATAACTTAATTTTTACAATACTGTTATACATAATTAATAATGAACTACAACGTTCGCTAATGACTGATTAGTATAATCGTGTTGCATTCATTTTCCTTACGCGCTTTATGCACAGGCGCACCATTTCTCTCCACTAATACTAGCAGCGAATATTTTAGCAGCTGACTGCCACGTCATTCCTCTTGGACTGACTTGTGTGGTGTGCGTAACAGGAAATATTTCACTTTTGGAGAACAAGAAAAATAGGTTTATCTGTGTTATGCTTACTTTGTGCAGTTATTCAATGTCTGGTAAGTTAATGTTCAAGAAAAAATAATTTTTATTAAAATGTTCTATTTCATGTTAATGATTAGTCATTTATTTCAGCCCTTTGTATTCAGCATGTCTCTACTGAAATAAACCTGTTTCTATGAAAATTAAAGCTTTTGTTTTTTTGTGGCCCACATAAACTTAAACCTTGTTTATTTGGCCGGTGTTAGCCTTTGAGTTTGACATGCTTGACCCAGAGGCTGAGGCTCCAAAAGCAGATGCCGGAGGCAAGGACTGTGGGAGCTGCTGTTGTAGGGCCAACTCTGGAGGGGTAAGCTCATCCCTAAGTAGGGCACTTACTTAGCTAAACTGGTTGGGTCTCACCAATGCCCATCGATATCTAAAAAAAACAGATTGAAAACAAACAAACAAACAAACAAACAAACAAAACATAACAGTTTGATATTAATGGCAGGTGGGCACCATGACCCCCAAGGAGCACACAGTTGGTGGAAGACTCACGTGTTGCGTGCTCCCATTATACCCTCAGGCCTATGTTAGTCCAGCAAATGCATTCTAGGAACCATTAGCCTCTCTGTGCAGTGGATACCAAATGACCTATCTACTGAATAGCCAGGCCATCTAGGCAGGTTCTCAAGTGTAAAGGCAACAATAGCCTGTCAAGGGCCAGACAGGTGCACACAGCAGTAGCTCGAAACAGGGCAGTTGCCAGGCACAAGAATAGGCAAGGGCACCCCCACCAGAAGGTATCTGTCCTCAGAGAAGGGAGGACAGTGGTGGTGCCTCTTCAACATTCCTGGATCACTGACCTTCTGCCTTCTCTACATCTGGTAGCCATTGCGGTCCTCATCCCCCACACTGTCCATTCCCACCCCAATCTGAATCCCAGCCAGGGTCAGAGGACAGGAGCTATGGGATGCCACCTACTGAACAGGAGAGGGGTGGGCTCTACCACATACTTCTTTCACTTGTGCAGACTCTCCGAGGTGTCTAGTCTGTCCCTGCAAAGCAGAGCAAGAGGCAAGAGCATGTGAGTGCCTGCCTTACAGGCCACATGCAGTCTTGGCCTGGAGGTGAACTTGGGAGGCAGGCACATAGCCTCCAGGAGATTTAGAGCTGAAGACAGGCACACAGAACACTGCTGCACTGACAGTGACCACCACTTCATTCCACAAAATGAAGCCTCTCTAACTGGGTAGAGATATGAGTGCCCATTGGGGCCTCGATGAACCCAGGTGCTATTCCATCCCTGTACTTCCCCAGTGGACACTAGACCACCAGGTGCACTGGAGCAGTGAGCTGTGAGTGGGCCATGACTCCCAGGGCTGAGTCCTCCTCTGGACACTGCTGAGATAATGCAGCAGCTCCTGCTTCTAGAGTCCAGGCTGCTTACCCCTTCTAAGGATACTGGTCACCTTACACCTGGGACCCTCCACCTGGCAAAGAGGATGCTCCATCTGAGAGGTAGGGCTGTGATAGCCATCTGAAGACAAACTGCACTTTGCCTTTCTTTGAGGCTTCACCAGGTGCAGTGCCCACAGGCTGGAACAGACAGAGGGAGAGGGAATAGAATGAGGTGGTGCCATGGGGGATGTACTGTGCTAGAAGGAGTGACAGCAACTGCGTGTCTGGAACCGCCCCCCGCCCCCCACAAACAAGCACATGGGTAAGAACGGAGAAACAATTACGTGCCCTGTGTGCACTCAGGTCTGGGAGAGCTCAGGCAAGGCACCAGAAACCTAGCAGAGATAGCTCTGATGCCAGCCCTGTGCTCCTTTTCCTCTTCCCTCCATGGGATCTGAGCTAAGGGAGGAGCAAGAAAGCTGTCCTCTCACAACCTGTCCTCTCTGCCTTCAGCCGGCTGTACTGGGAGAGCCCTGGGGAGCAGACGGTTCTCAGCGAGGGATGGCCATTGAGCTTCTCAGATGAGTCAAGAGACCTGGGACCAGGATCTCTAGTCAGGAAGGGGCTGTGGCATTCTTATCTGGACCTCTCTGCCTCACGACAGTGTCCAGTCTGCTGGGCCTCAGCCCCCAAGAACCAGCTACACCAGCCGTGGGCAAACTACAGCCCGCGGGCCGGAACCGGCCCGTTTGAAATGAATAAAACTAAAAAAAAAAAAGACCGTACCCTTTTATGTAATGATGTTTACTTTGAATTTATATTAGTTCACACAAACACTCCATCCATGCTTTTGTTCCGGCCCTCCGGTCCAGTTTAGACCCATTGTGGCCTCGAGTCAAAAGTTTGCCCACCCC